TCCATCTTTATTATAATGAAGTAATGAGATTGAGCTGGTGCACAATCCCAGCAGAAGAGCTGTCACCAAGTTTTGCTACAGAATTTGGCACACAAGGGCATCTCCTCACACATACCAAAGAGAGGAGTCTCCAGCATCTAAACTAGCCCTGATTGCACCGCATCTGATCCCAGACACCTGAAGCAGGTAACCAAGCAGGTCCCTGGATGAGTGGCACGTCTCCATGCACTTTGGCCAGGAGGCTACCACAGTGTTTGGGCTATGTTCTCAATGTTCAACTCCTCGAGCCTTGTGCTTGGTTTTGTGCAAGGAAGAAAAAGATGTTCAGCTCTGACCTCTGGGAGGAATCAGAGGAGCTCTGGACAGGACTTGCTCCATCCCCAAGCTCGGAACAGAAGCACTTTTTCCACTCCTACCCATGCTGGCTCTCATGGACACTTCACGGACATTCTCAGGACTGAAAGACACTCAGCCCCGATAGCTGGCAACGACTTTACTTCTACAGCATCATTTCCTGAGAGTTAAGCATCCCTAAAGGAAGGTGATCCAGAACTCTAGGTGCCCTTGACACCAGTTAAAGCTATAATCTATAGCAATAAAGCCATTACGAAACAAAACCAGGAGCAAATCCCTCCAGCAAACCACCAGTCAGCGAAAAATTTGAACCAAAAGTCTCCTCCCTCAGTCCCTGCTGCCGCAGCCCTCCCTGGCACCTCTTCCAGCAAACATGCTTGGAGAACCAAGGTGGGTCTTTGCATCAGGCTCAGCTTAACAATAAGCCAAGGACACCTGAACACTGTCTGTGTTAATAGGAATCTAATTGGGCATCCTGATCTGCGACACAGCTTGGAAAGCTGTGGCACTGTGGGTGATAACTCATTTGGCTTGAGGTGCTGCTGGCCAGCACCCAGCGGCAGCAGGCAGCTATGGAAGGGCTTGTGGCTGAGCGCATCCTTTCCCTGATGGTGTAAACAGACTTCGCACCACCCTGAGAAGTTCCAAGGGCCCCAATCCCACCCAAAGACAATGGGCTCATGGGGATGGGTAGGAGATCCCAGTCCATGCAGCGACTGGAGCAAACAGCTGTGGGACCTGATGGTCCCACTTTTCTGCACCCTTTTTCCTCTCAGCCCATCCTCTTCCAGCCAAGCCCCATCCCACTTCCTATCATTTAACTGTCTCCTAGATTTATTTCTGGTTACTGCCACATTTTGGCTGGCAGAGCACAGAGGGTCCTTTCCCCAGGGAGGAGAGAATGTAAAATTTGCAAGTACCTAAACGGGAAACAAGACTGCCATTCTGGTCTACAAAAGATACCAGGAAACCACTTTACATTTCTTCCCCCTCCAAACCTGCCCGCCTTCTGCTGGCTCCTGAATGTTAATGTTATTTATGACAAGTGATTGATGAGGGGGATGCAGAATTCACACCCAGCACAGGGCATTTTCAAATCACCTATTCATTTTTAAGGACCGGAATCAGTTTTGTATCCTGACATGATTTATCATTTGGAGGCTGAGCAGCGGCTACGCAGGGCCAGCTTCCAAGCCCTGACAGACCATCACCAGGCTGAAGGCAGTGGTGAGTAGTTAACCCTTTGAGGGGTGAGCAGAAGATCACAGGACACCAGTATTCAAACTACATTGCTTAAGTTGGAGCCTTCTATTCCACCAGCATGTCAGGCCGTCCTATAGCCTTCAGATGCACAGACCATGCAGATCCAAGCTAATAGCCACAGTAATGCTGCTACATTTCTTAAAAGCAGAACTAGGTTTTTATCTTCTACATAGCCTGGCTATGTGAAAGAAATATTTACATAAGATGCTGTCATTGCAATGCACCTAAAAGAGATCAATGGGACATTTCCCCTCCAGTGGACCTTCCAGCCTACATGAGTCTCTGTATCTGCAGCAGAGAGAAATCTCACCACGAGCTCAGGAGAGATCTAGCTCCAAGTCAAATTCTGGTTCCCTTCCCTCAGAAATGTGCATTTCCTCAGGTTGCATATGGGAAAAGGGAAAGATCAGGCATGTGGAACCGGCCTGACAGCTGGGAGAAGGCAGAGCTTCTCAGGTTGGGAGAAGCTATATAAAAAGGGACAAAGTGGGAATGACATGTCTCCAGCAAAGACATTCTGTACCATACATTTGATGCCAGCCTGCCAGTGGCTGGCACAACCCACAGAATGACTTAATTCATTGCATCAGCATGGAAAAGCAAACAAACACCAAACAAGTGGGTGAAGCAGCCAAGTCTAGAGGTGACACTGTGGCAGCTTTTTCACAGCCCTTTTCTCTTGCTTCAGGAGATACTATAGCAGGATGCAGCCTCTCTCATGAGCAGGGGGAGGTATTCAGAGTACAGACGGCAGAAAGCTGCCATCCAGGGCTACAAGACCTGGGTCTAGCTGTCCTCAGTACCTCAGGGAGAAAGGTTTTAAAGCTCAAGAGCATCACAGATTCAAGCTTAGGAAGTTACCTAAAGGGACAGGGCAGGAGACATGTCCATAGAGAGTCTACTTGTGGTGTCATATTGAGGTGTCATCAGATCACTGGTGACTATTGGGACCCAGCAGGGACTCCTGGACTTGTAGCATCTGGGCACTTTGGAGAGAGTGCAGCCAGTTGTGACTGATGCCACAAAATCCCTCAAGTGTCTCTAGGCCAAGTGATTTCCTCCCCTGCCTGAGCAGCTCCTTGCCACGCCATTCCCACAAACAGCAATACCCTCCTCAGGTGGGAGGGCTGCAGATGGGTAGATTAGCCCCATGGCAGCAGCTTCCCCAGCAGAGCCCTGCAGATGTAGGTGATTCCAATTGCCAGTCTTGCCTTCACACTCCTGGCTTGCATTAATTGCACTGGGACCCCCTGGGATCCTGTGCAGACGTGTAGCTCCACTTCATGAAGCGTAAAAGCTTCTGCTGACTCTTAGAAAGAGCTAAACACATGGGTTGAGCTGCTCTAGGAATGTTCAGGGCTGTCTTCAGCAGCACTCTCCCATGACACTCTCTGGTGTCTAGTAAGGGTTGAGTTCACACAACAGTTTTTCCCCTCAGTGGGGATGGCAGTTGTCACTGCCTTGCATCCTGTTTTCACAAAAGTACTGGAGATGCTGAATATACCTGAAGCTCCTATACCTGCAGTCATATATGGTTGGTGCTCAATGCATCTAAAATACTGAAGGATTGGGATGGACTTACGTATGTTCTCACATACCCATCACCATGGCATAAGCTGTGTTTCTTAGGAAACCAGACTAGCAGCAGTGCCTGGTATCTCCATTTAGAAGGGATGAACTCTGGATGCAAGACTGGATTTTATAAGCCATTCTCTACTGCTACCACCTGCATGGCTATGCAGTGCTCCTGCGACAGGGAGAACAGAGCTTCCAACAGGGGTTGAAAGGGGTAAAGTAAATGGATGAGAGGAAAAGAGAAGGCATGAGGACGTGCACTGTTGTTGTGCATGGTTTTCTTGGCATATCCTTTGGCAGTGCAAAGCAGATGGGACAGCCGCCTATAACATGACTCTTACGCTCTACCTCCAGGCACAGCAGTGGCTGGGGAGGTGAGTACACCCAGCCCCTGCGCCCTTCCCCCTGCACTGCTGCTCTTACATCACTGTGGCTTCACGCCCACACACCCGTGTGGTATGGAGGAGCTTGTGGTATCTGCTGGCAGACAGGGATAACATCCACATGCTTGGGCTGTGGTTCTCCTCCTGGAAACCAGGCCCACAGAAACAACGAAAGGAAATTTTTGGCCTTGAGGCCGTCCCTGCTGGGCCTCCTCATGGTGCCCTCATTGTGCAAGTGAGCACCCAGCCAGGTCCCCATCTGGTGGCTCATGAGCGGGTGTTGCTCGGAGGCACATGCTTGGTGGTGGCCGGTCAGAAGGGCTGCTTCAAAATGCTTTTTGGAGTGGAAGTGGTACCACAGCTACAATACCATTCTTCCATCCATCCTCAGAGGGGCTTGTTCAGTGGAAATTTGCTACTTGGGAAACTAAAAATAACTGAGAACTTTCTTTTTTTTGGTTTATGGGGGCTGGTTTTGTTTCTTCTCCATTTTGCATTGAGAAAGACATGAAAAGCCAAATTGTCCTGGCTATACCTCTCCTTTGTCCTCTCTATGCCACTGCCCAGTGGGCCAAAGAAGTCTTTCAAACCTGACAGCAGTCAGGTTTGTTTCTTGCTAGAAAAGAGGAAAAAATGGCTTCACAGGGAAAATAATGGAAGTTTCCTGTGATAAATAAATAATCAACAGTTGATCTCCAGTGTATGTCCTGGAGGCTCTTCAGACCAGAGCGTCTCTGTTGAGTCTTTCCGCAGCTCTCAGCACAGTGGGTCCTAAGCCACAAGCAGAAACCATCACAGTTGTGGTAGCATCAATCTAAGGTGCTATGTACTGAAGAAGAGCCATTGGACCTGAGGCACCCTGCCTGCCCCTCCCCAGCACCACAGGCCAGGCCTGGGCACCCAAGTTTTACACCATCAGACCATTGCCATGGAAACCATCTCCATGTACCTATTTCAATCCTCCTGGGAAGCGTGCTGCTCCCCCTCCCAGCCACCACCACACTGGCTCAACCAGGGTGGTGCAACTTGCTCCGAGCATCCTGGTGCCCGCACGCTTCCCAGGCAGGAGAGGGCAAAGCGACCAGCCAGTGGTGTCTGTCCACACATTGTCAGTGGAGACCAAAGAGCATCATCATCCTTCTCCCTGAGCTCGTGAGCACGGTAGGGTTGCTGAGCTCACCAAGGGCACTTGAGGACCTTGCTCCTAACCAGGGATGGCTGTCAAGCCTTTCTAGCTCCAGCTATCAGCAGGTCATAGCACCTCTTCCCAAGGGAAGGGAAACAAATCCACCTCTTCTCATGACACCACCACCTTCACACCATGTCTAGCCAGCATGACACAACCTGCCAGCAGCGCTGGGCCAGCTACCTCCCACACTCTCAGCTGCGGTGATAGTGTGACCCTGCAGCAACGACACCACTCACCATCTGGATGACGGACACTGGCCCAATGCTGTTCACATAGATATCCACATCGATGTAAGTGGGCTTGACTGTAAAGAAAATAAAATAGGTATGGATGAGCTGGGGCTAGAATAATTTCTGAAGGGCTGAAGACCAGGGGAGCATCTGGGATCAGTGTGGCTCTGTCTCACCAAAAATCCCAACTACAGCAGCCACAAAAGCATGGAAAACACAAGACACAGCTGGGCCAGGTCACCACCCGTGGCCACAGGGAGCTTCAGGGGACACTTACTGCCAATGTCAGGCCTCAGCTTGTTGTCATAGTTCTTCAGCAGTGAGTTGAGGATCTGCGTGGCATCAGTCTCCTGTGCCTTGGGGGTGAGGACCCAGGTTTTATTGATGCTGAGGTAATCATAATCGTATTCCTCTGTGCTCTCACACCTGGATCAGAGAGACAAAAGGAGAGAGACATCACTGTGGCAGCTCTCTGGCACTCTTTGGGAGCAAGGACACAGCTGGGTTTCAGAGATACTAAAGGAGGAGGATGCAGTGCTGCTAAAAGGCAGAACATAAGGAGCTCAGAGATCTACTTTCAGCCACACTGCTAAGAAGACACAACTCACCTGGCGCCTTTGGTGCCTTGAGGGTCCCCAGACATGCAGGGGCCTTGCCACCAGCAGTCAGGACTAGCAGGGATGGGGTGCTCCACATCCTCCCCAGCTTCCTTTGGAGACACACTGCTCATCCCCAAAGTGTGGGAGCCAGTCCCTGCCCTACCCTGCTGTGTTCCTGCCCATTCCACTCCTGGCCCTCCTCTACTGCCAGCAGCTCCTGCTCCTGGAGCTGCCTGTTAACCCCAAATACCTCAGCTGCTCTGCCTGCCACTTGCACCTGAAGTGGGCTTCCTCTGAGAAGAAGACAGTGACCAAACAGCATTTTTGGGGAGCAAGGCTTTTACATTAAAAGCATTTCATAGAAAAGAGGTCCTAAACTACCACGCAGGCAGCATGCATGTCTGGCTTGCCAGGAACCCAGCCATCTGCCCTGCACAGATCCTCAGAAAGAAAAGCTTTACGCAAACTCATCTGCCCTCAGGCCAAGACCTGCCACAACCCATTCCCTGTAGTGACCAACCCTTCCTCCCCAGCCTTTGGTGCGAGCTCCCATTTAAAGATGCTCCATCTTCCTGATCTTCCAGTTCCAAGCCAGGCAAGGAAAGCTTGCTTCCTCCTTTGGACATGATCCACTTAGCAACAGCTTCTCCCACTGCCTTTCAAATCTACCCTTTCTAAACCTTTCACACCCCTCCCTTTTCCTAAAGGGGTTTTCCTAAACCCTCTAATTAAATTAGGTCCACATGGTCACCTGGGAAATTCTAACCACCTGCCGCTGCTCTGGGCAGCTCATTCACAAGATTGTCCCTGGAACGACACAGCCATACGTGGGAGAGGATGCCGAGCACTCCCACCCCCAGCACCCCCCCCTCAATGTCTGCCATGTCAGCGTGTCACCTGCTCCAGCGCCAGCAAGGGTCTCGCAGCGGGAGCTGCCGCTGTGTTGACACTTCCCAGCTGGAGCCTCGCAGCTCGGAGGTGCAATCAGGCACCACTGATACACATCTCCCTTCAGTGCCTGGGGAGGCAGAGCCTGGCAAAGGTACTTGAAGGGGAGGAAAAAAGCATTAAATTGACATGTTGCAGTCAATTTATCAGATGCTCCTCTTTTAAAACCCCAGATAAAACTTGCTTTCACAATCACTTTAAAACTCTTTGCATCTCCCCAGCTTTCAGGCACCGGGATGTGTCCCCCCACAAGGGCTGGGCTGCATGCAGCTGGCTGCCTGCCGCCGCACATTAGGTATTGGTACATCAGCTTGTTGTTTCCTGTCTGATTGTGCTGCACTTTCTAACGATGCTTAAGGAGTCTTAAGCAACACTGTCAGGATGCGCTTCCCTATCTGAGCAGCGGCAGCGAGGGCTCGCCTGGCTGTCGTGCTGTGCCAAACCTTCGAAATGCAGCCAAGCAGACAGCTCCGTGGCACCCAGCAGCTGCAGGAGGCACGGGGGACCACCACTGCGCCCACCTGAAAGCTGGCCAGAGCCGAAATCTGGGGCCGGCCCTGCTCCTGTGGGGCACAAAGAGGGACATGTGTCTCTGCCCGCAGATCAGCTCAGGGCAGGGGAAAGCAATCCTAACTGCTTTCCCTTGCTGCCCGTGTTTTGGGTGGTGCAGGCTGCCTCTAGCAGAGTGGGAACAGCTACACCAAAACCTTATCTCAGTGTTCCCTTGACCCTACTTGAAGTCAGCGCAAGACAGGTCACCTGCCAGCACTGAACTCTGCGTGTCCCACTGCCCTGCCAAAATCCAGTTCCTGGAAGGTGTAAGGCCACAGTAGAGTGCGAAACATCCCTCTGGGGCCGAACAAAACCAGGCTGGTTACTCTGACCTCAGCCTTCTGGCTTCCCCCCGTTTAGTGTCCCTGATTAACATCCTAAGGCTTGGGATAGCATTTCCAGGGAGTCACATCCCTACTTCAGATGCAGTGACACTACCAAAAATATGCTTTTTGCTAATGCAGTTAATCCTGGACTACTAAACCATACTAAGCCATCTTAGCATAAGCAAGCCAGCTTTTGCTGGAGAAAATATGCTTTTGCTGGGTGTCTGTGCACACACAGACACATGCCAGCTCTTGCTGGTCAGGAGTGTGACTCTCATGCCGCCCTATGCAAGCCCCTGCCTCCTCCCCAGTGGCCCCACTTCAAATCAAGAAGGGAAGAGTCCAAGAGCTATTGCAGAGGAGATGAATTAAGGTGACATGTGCGTGTCACCCCACAGCTGCTAATGGAAATGTCACACTGCAAACCTGCAGTGTTCCCCAATGCACTGTGAACACTTGCCGGCCCGGTGGCTCCGTCTCCTTGTGCAAAGCGACTGGCTCGGTGACAGGGGACAGCCGGTTCTCATATGTCTCCGTGCAGTCAGGAGGAAAGGCAGAGCCACGTTTCCTCACCCCAGCTTGTTGAAATATCAAAACATCCACCTCACAGCACTCCTGCACTCGGCCACAGGGCTGGGACGCAGCCCTGAGTGCAGGCTGGGGGCGGGCAGGGGGGATGATGGCAGGGCAGAGCTGGGGACATTGTGAGGAAACTCCTGGTCTGACAGATGCGGTCGGGGCTGTGGCAGCTCCTGCTGGTGCCCAGAGCAGGCCTGCATGGCAGGGAGGTGTCCTTTCGGATGCGGTAATGTATATGGATGGGGTTGGACAACCCTCCCTGGGCAATCCTTGGCATTAGAGCAGGACAGTGCTCTGCCTTGCATCCCTAATTCTGTTTTACTCAAGCAGACACCTGTTTTGCTGAGATTTCCAAGCACACTGATGGTCAAAGTAAAAGCCACCCAAAGAGCTGGTGGCTGGCTCCCTCCTCCAGTGCCCAAGCTGTCTGACAAGGTTTCCCTTAGCAGGAGGAGGGGAAGAGCAAAATGTGTCACGAGCCCTTGAAGATACTTCTGCTCCTTGCCTGGTAGGACCGCCGATGGTGCTTGACCAGGTTGCATACCCACTACTATTTGCAACCTAGTGTGTTAAGAAAGTCTGAGACCAGTAAAATTTTGTACTGAGACCTGCACCCACTGGGAAGGTGACACACACCCTCTCAGCCATCCCTAGCCCTAAGGCAGGAATGTCCTGGAGCAGATGCAGAGACCGGGGCAGTGACTGGGCAGCCCCTCTGCAAACGCAGCGCAAAGCCTCCCCTGCTCCCGAGGGACAGACAGCAACAAAATGCAAGAACATTTCCCTTGGTTGAAAAGCACTGTGGTCAATCCTAATTACCACATGCTAATGTGTCCTTCTACTGCCCATCCCAATGCCTTCAAGGGTTGTAGGCACAGGGACGTTCAAGCAAATTGCTCTAAATTAGAAGCTGGCAGAGGATTTAAGGACAGGGTGCTCGCTAAACTGTACCCTACCCATTTCACATGTCTTTGTACCTCTCCTTTCACAGCATGCTCCATGAAGCCCCAATGGTCAAGTCTGCACAGTTTCAACCATCTGCCAAGCCCAACTTTCTGGTGGTGTGATGCTGTGTAGGGAAGCTGCCTTCAGGGCTCAGAATTGGGTGCCTTGGTCCCAGCCAAGCCAGTGCCCTGGGAAACGTGGTGAATTAGGCTCTGTGATGGGGGGACTGTCTGGGGAGTGCTGAGTCACTCGCCACAAAGCATCCAGCCCGCTCCAGCACCAGGGGAAGGGTCTTGCAGCTTATGCCAGGAGAATAGCTTTGACACATGCGGCACCTGACTGGGCTCCTCACCTCAGCACCCACCATCAAGTGCAGGCTGGTGAGATTCACCCCCTGCAAGCTGCAGCCAGGAAAAATGCAGTGAATGCAAAGTATGACCCTTGCTCCTCTTCTTCTTCTCCCACAGGCTTCCTCTCCTGCTCCATCACCCCCCAAGCACGCACAGACACTGCTCCTGGCAAAGCCAGGTTCAGGGAAGAGGTAGACACAAGGGATTGGGCAGAAGGAGAGCTGGGCCAGCTATGGGGTAAATCTTCTGGCCCAAGGGAATACATGACTTAACTGCTCCTCCGTGTGATCTTGCAGATCACGATTCACCCTCTCAAAATGCAGTGTTCATGGCAGTGCACCGCAGGATGGTAGGGCACAGGAACCGGGACCACCACAGACCCCGCTCTGGGCTCTCAAAAGCCCCCTGGGACCAGCATGCTGGCGATAGGCTGGGTGTCAGGGCACGAGACTCCGGGAAGGCCAAGCCCTGGAGGACCGCAGCAGCCTGCACCCGAGGTTGGGAAGCCTTGGCAGAGCAGACCATTAGTAGCAGGATTCATGCTCCCTGTCCCTGACTGCATTTGTAATGGGATTTGATCAGCTTTAAGGCAGCTTATTCTGCCAATTAGCTTCAGCCAGTAAAATCCCTCTTCCCCCGAGCCCTGGGGGCAACAATCTGCTGACAACATGCTCTTTCCCCGATCTAGCCATTAAACTCACCAGCAGGGCTAGGAATTG